GGGACCAGGTGTTCCCACGACCTCCACGACAACGATGGGGCTTCTGGGGTTTGGCCCTCCCCGAGTTGTGTGCTTTTGCAGTAGTGCGGCTACGAGCGCATTGAGAAGTATAAACGCCAGGAGTACAAAGCAAGGCTCGATTGGGGATGACGATTTTGTCTGGTCGTCCGGCACAGAACGCGCCATGTTTTTATGCTGCAACATTCCATGCCTGACAAGAACAAGCCTTGCCGTTGGGTGTGCGGTGTTGGACTCACCACATCGTGGACAAGTGTGCTCGTGTTGGCGACCAGCAACTGCACCGTCCAAGACACGAAATTTGTGGCCGCACTTTCCTCGATGGTGGACTCGGCCAGTTTGGACCCCACTGCGGCATGGACATTTGCAGCGTGGGCAGACGTAGTCATACAGCCTTGTCGACTCCCCTCTGACCTGATTCCCTGCTGGCTTCGCCTCGGGCACCTCCGGATTGAATGCGTGGCCATGCGTTGGCGCGTGTGGCTGCGCGCTTGACGTGGTTTGTTTTCCTTGTTTGGATTCTGGTTTGGGGTGAGTCTCTGTCGTGGCTTGGCGTTTTGTTTGACGACGACTGTGCGGGACTGTGCTCGGCAGTGGCTCGATGGACGATGCGTGTGGTGCCACGACACTTGTGCTTTGTTTGGGGCGCTTTGCGGCGTTGGCTTCCTGTGCGCCGGAGTCCGTCGGAGCCAGACGTTTGCGTTCGTGGACGTGACTGGCGATGAGGTCTTTGATTTCTTGCAGGATGTGTTCTCGGTGGATTCGTTGGCGCAGCGACGCTACACGCGCGTGGGTCTTGGCGGCGACGCGTTTGCCTTGGACGGTCTGGATGCGTGTAGTGTGACACGCATCGCACACTTGTTTCCCGTTTTCTCCGGAAGAGCGTCGGCGGAGAAAGATGGTGTACTGGTCTCGTTAACCACCTTTTTGTTAAGCGCAGGAACTGATGCTGATACAAAAAAGAATAACCACCTTTTTGTTAAGCTGATACTGATATTCCTGATGCTGCTTGGGTGTCCGCGACAAACATCATGACAATCAGCACCTTGTTTGTCACAGCGCTCCCTTGTGAAAGAAGCCTTTTATTGGCCTATAGTTGCCACCTTTTGCTGTACACTGTAGACTGTACACCGTCAAAAAGACGTGCATCATGTGGTCGATGAGGGTCCATGTAGACGCGTTCCCCGTGGTGAAGATCGACGCATGACATGGTCAAGATGCGTGAAGAGCGATGGATGTGGGGAGGGATCAAACAAACGCGTGTGTATCTCCCGGATCAAAGGCTTATAAAAACAAACAGCCTACAGCCGTGCCATGTCGCAATGAGCAAAGAGGCCATTATGGCTACCTACGCAAAAAAAGCAGGAAGACCTACCAAAGAACTCGGGAAAAGGACGAATAGACTAACACTCGCTGGTTGCGGGCTCTCCCAAATCTATGTCCCTTTTCGATGCAAGGCCAAGGCACTTCCTCTCGGAAGAAGCCATTCAAAGTCGCCACACAGGCCATGGCGAAAGCTGTAAAATAGCCGACCCAGTTGCACGCTGGTCTTCTCCAAGTGGCCCATGTGCAGAATGTTGCTTACCGGTCCTCTCTTCATCCGCTTCATCGCTTCAATTTGTTGGGGTGCTGTATGTTTTTCTGTCCTTTCTCCACGAGCCACCGAGTCGTTTCAGTAACTGGGGAAGTCTCCTGGTCACTCCAGCGAGGTTCTACATTCTTGTTAAACTTTATATCCCATGGCCATATGGGCTTGGCAAATCTAGGCAATGAATGCTGCATCCGAAATTAGACATCACTAAAACCCATTGGATGAGGATCCAACTGGGTAGCACCAATGCGCAAAGAACTATACATGCTGGTACATACAATGCACACCAGCTCGCAAAGTCGCAGACATGGGCCCACCAGACTGGAGTTCTTGGAACCGGGCGGTGGAAAGAGCCGGTGTGGAGGTTGAGGATGCGAACGTACCTCTTAACTCTTTGAATCTAGGTCCCAAACGTCCAAGAGGGGCGCCGTCTTTGAGGCGTGAAACAAGTGAAGCCGCCTGAAGGCATTGCTTCTGGACATGATTCACCACTTGGACTGGACTAGGATTCCCATGATTCGCCAAATTGGATTGGAGTCATATCATATATGCTTGGTTTATTCTTATATGGCCTATATGGGCTCCTATCTACACAAACACACCTGCAACATCCTGAACCTAAAGATTCGTGCAGGAGTGCATGTATAAGTAGTGGTTGAATGTTTTTGATAGTGCCCTCAATCTGCAAATCCGTGCAAATCTATCCGTTTGGCACTGGTCTGGCTGCCACTCCTGCATGTTGCATCATGTTGCTATATGCACTTGCACTGTGACCGAAGCCTGCAATTCTCAAGTCTGAGATGTCGCAGCCTTTTTTGGACTAGCGCAGCGTCTGGGCCAAAGTTGCAGAACAGCTCCATAACCACTCCTGCTGTCCCTGAAACAATCCTAGAAGTGGGTGGCATGGCCAACATGGATTTAGAGGACCATCGTCTACAAACAGGTTCACTTCCATGGTGCATGAAGGAAAATCACCTGAACCATAGCTTTTTGGCGAGTGCAAGCTGCAGTACTCCTCCTCCTTGATGAGTCCCGGGGTCGGCGGCGGGGCGGCAGCCCTTAAATATATATAATATATGTAATAATTCGTGTGCAAAATTGGGATCCATTCCATAGACTAGAAAGCCATTCTCCACATTCTTTACCTTGGCCTCCTCTGTCCATGGCGCATGGCAGAAATCCCGGTGGAGCCCGCGAGATTCGACCTGACCCACCAACTGATTGGCTCCCCGCAAGCGGGGCTCCCGGCTAAGTAGCCATCCAGGAAGTCCAAGGACATTGCAAAGGCCTCGACATCATCCTCTGAATCTGAAAGTGATACGCATGATGCACCTCGACATCTGAGTAGATACACGATAGATAACGATAGACTATCTAGATTAGATAATGCGGGAGATGTACTGAACATTGGGAGTCCGCAGTTGGAGGCCAAAACTGGATCAGAACGATCTTGGGCATTGGAAAATATTCGCATTTGGAGGCTCCAGCTTACTCCGTCCCAGCTGTAACCAGCATAACAATCGAAGAGTCTCAGCGGTGTGTCAAATGCGCGTTGGGGAGCCCACGTAGATGGCCACCACCCAGGTGAGCATAGGTATCTCTGGCCACCATGCCAAGCCTTGCAAAATTGTAAGTGCCCTCACTCACGATGTTCATGTGTCACCCCTTGTAGGGGGGTTCCCTTCGCCACACCTTCAACGGAGTTGGGCTGGGTTTGCCAGGTAATTACCGTCCACATGACTCATCCCTCAAAAGGGCTTTGAGGAGTTTCAAAAGGGCGGTTCGAACGGTGGATTCAGCATTGCTTGCCGGTCACTTCTGACTCGGCTCGTCCAAACAACATGGCGAGAGCCTCTTGGGGTCGTCTTCTGGCAAACTAAAGGCTGGGAGTCAAACAATCCTAAATTTGCACATTGGCATCAATACTGTCATTACTGCTGCTTACAATCTTGTTCCTTCTTTTCAAACCTCCCTTCCTGCCGTGTTCCTATCGTTTGTATTCGTTTGTGTTTTTGATCTCTCCACTCTCTATCTCTAGCCGCTAGCCACTCCCTCTTTTGCTCGAGAAGGGAACTTGTATTATTGTATAATCCTGCCTAGAGCGAACGCGCCCAATACGGCTCTGACATAGCCTGCAGTAGTGCAGGAGAATGTGACACCACCGTGGTAGCTTGGCGGTCCGTGGTATCTTAGCTGCCTCAAAGTAGCAAGTTACTGAAAAAGCAAAATGTCAATCCCTTTCAATTATTTGTCCACAGCCCACAGTGAATCATTTATGAGTCAGCGAACAGTTATTACAAATGTTCACATAATTCAGCAAAAAAAAGGCCTGTGTATCTTGACACCCACGCCCATTCTGAGCTTTGGACGTTTTGACGGCACTGGTGACTAGTAGCTTCTTGTTCCTAGTAGTAAGGCGGCCAGGAGCTACGTTGGTAGCGTCCTTGCTCCTAGTAGCAATGCCCTTGCTCCGTGCGTAGCGATGCCCTTTGTTCCGTTCGTAGCGAACCTTGCAACCGAGCAACAAATCACGTTGGGCCAAAGAAGCAGCACCTCCCTTGGGCCAACTTCAATCACCATGGCGCAGCACACTGAAAGAGATACTCTGGACGGCGCATTGTTGAAACAAACATGGAAAAAAAGGACCATCGCTTCAACTGCTAGCAATGGATCTTGAGCTTAAATCTGTGGGAATACTGCCAAAAACGCTGGCAATGGTCGTCTGTATGGACAGGAGTGCACCCCAAAAAGGATTCACCATCCTTCCGCATCCTTCCGTCTTGGATTTCGGATATGGAATTGACAGGGATGTCTGAGCCAACTGCTCATCTCTCTTGGCATCTCTGGGTTTCTTGTCTGACGAGTTCCTCTGTCTCATCCTCCGAGCTGAAGAGGCCAACGAACGGACCAGGCAAGGAGGTGCAGGCCGGTGTTCCTTCGTCTCGGGTCCACCAAGAGATCCAAACCCACCTCATGGGACCTAATCGTTGTCTCTTCATCATGGGCATCGAATCGAAAGTCACCAGTGACTTGCCACGGTGAGAACTGGTTCCGAACTGGTTCCGCACTCCAATCTCTTCGTCCTCTACCCGACCTGAGATGTCTTTGGCTCGGTCGTGCTAGCTGTGACGATCGCAGTCGACATCCGTGCCGATCGCTGTGCCTCGCCGTGATCTTCGACCATCGGTCGCAAAGATCTCGCGACCTGTGCTGACGGTACAGGGGAAGTCCCAAAGCCTCCGTACAAACATGGCGAATTCAGCAACCAATTTTCTTTGAAGCAGCTAATCATATCCAAGTTTTACTCCAGTTGCTATCAGTCTTTTGAACTCCCAGCATTGCCAGGTCTAAGCCATCCACATGGACCATCCGAGCAGGGAAGGCGGGTTCTTTATGGCATCTCCCTCAGCAATTCCACCGCCTTCCGTTGCGCAGAAGAAGAGTGGACCGTCCCGGTTGAAACGCGACGTAAAAGTATCCAGCACAGCATATCAATAAACGGACCGGAGATCTCTCACATGGCATCATTTGCCTATGTTTGTAGTGTCAATCATATTGTAGACTTGTGACTTCTGCCAATTCTTCATTACCGTTCTCATGCTGGCCTTCACGTAGGGATGAACTCTGCAAAGCTCCAAATCCGTCTCATTGCAGGTGTTCAACAGCTTCTCCATGCGCTGGAAGGCTGACCTGCACCTGATGGTTGCTTAAATTCACTGTTCCCCACAAAGAACCCTATATTGGGCCTGTGACCGTATTGGTTTCGGGCAAGTACCAAGTAGCCCTCCCTCATGGCTTGCCCAAACAGAGTCTTCCCGGCGTCTTCACGGCCCTCCACGGGCGCGTGGTCCATGGGGGCCCCCAGCATCATCCGCGTCTTGAAGCGCATGATCACATGCCAATCAAAGCCATCGATCACCTCAGACGTTGGATCGGTCGAGGGATGCGAGCAAGGTAGAGCAAGTACGAAGATAGTTACTAAGGTAAGGGGTGGGTATTTCGCTCGTTCCCTGGTGGGGAGGCCACCTGGAAGGATGTAGCAAATGGAAGCGTGAGTTTTGCTTGATGTTCACGCTTGACCTCTGTAGATGTCTTTTAACAATGCTGCAGAGTCTGCCCATGGCAGTTCTTCAGTCAGCATGAAATAAATCGTGGGATATCTTCGGAGGAGTTCTTCTTTGAACTGTATCAGCATTGGACTATTGCTTGACCTTTGATATCAACTACTCCCAAAGCATTCGGCCAAACTCGTCCAAACTACCACTTTCTGACCCTTAAATTATCTCGTTCTGTCAGGGGCCGTTTCTAGGTACTCTCCTGCCCTGTCGTCCCGGCGTCCGGGTTCGCGGGGCAGGTCACTGTGAGTGACCCGGCCTCCTCCGCTTGCAGGTCTCTCGCGACCGCTTGGATCCCTTCAGCAGACCAAGTGGGATCCCAGGCCTAGCGAGAGTGGGGAGGATGTGATGGACGAATAGGGACGAATATTTTTCGGACGAATGGTTGAAAAAGAAAGGAAGTTACTGAAGGTGGACCAACGTTCTGAAACTTAATTACTCAGAATGTTTCAAACTTATAGGTGAGAAATTGGAAGGGAACAGGGTCCAATCACCTGATATCATCTCTATCAATGGATCTTGTCTTTGAATCGAACGAACACGGCAGGGGTCATAGGAAGCTTTCACTACTCAACAAGTGGAAGTGGGCGAGAACATTCTCCAGGTGGAGTTGCAACAACCGGATGTTTGCGATCTTCACTATAAGGCTATCTTCCGTTGGTGGAGGGATTGGTTTTCAGAGGGTGTAGACCTATGGGTATGCTGGTTGGTGACAAATTACTAATTCCTGTAAGAAGACTTCTATAGTTCCACTACATTGGTGTACCCTGGAGCTCCACCCAGTGACCGTACAGGCTTCCCAGCTCATTCTGTTTCTGAAACTTCCAGCGAATCTCCCTTGCCCGAATCTAGTTCCTGTACTGTTGAAGACACTTCTACCAACAGTGATCTCCAATTCACAGCTTCTACCACTGGCTGCTCCGATGACTCATCTCCACAGGTATAGTTCCAAACAATTTCTTGAGCATGAAGTGTGTCACCAAAGGCCTCCCAATGCAATCTCAATAGCAATGTGCACTTGCGCCGAACAGTTGGTGAGATTGGTACCTTGGCTGGGAGCCATCCGCAAGCTGCATCACAGCAAAGAACTAACCAACCAACAGGGTAGCATAGGTGAGTTATGCGAACAAGTTTCCTGGTTCCTGGACATCACAGCAGCCAACACATAGCATACTGCAAACTGCTGTACATACAATAAGTCGAACAACAAGTGCTGCAAATGAAGACCAAAACTATATATCATATCTGGTAGTTTGAAAAAAGTTTGATATGATCTAATACTAATATCGATGATTCTCCAATCAACAGTCTTGGTTTACAACTATATGCGAGTGAATGCAGCTTCTTTGGAAGAGCTGGGCTGATGGCAAGAATGAGGCAGGGGTGGAAAGAATAGGCCTTTGTCCCTCATATATGCATGATTATGCATGCATATGTGCTTGAACAATGTGTGTTTTCATAGTGTTTTACATGTTTCCTTTCCCCCGTCTTTGTCTTCACCAATATCACGCGTCACGTCATATCACTTCACTGGACCCTGTCGCCATGTTTCTTTGGCGCCAAACCCACTCATCCTGTTGCTGGTCCTGTTGCTCATCACAGACCTCAAACCGTACCCACACGCTTGGCCAGTCCCCAAAAGTGCAAGTTCCGGGAAATCCAAGTTCATGAGTGCATTTCTCAATTAGAGAGTAAAAGTAATAAACGAATTTGACTCACATCTTTCCAGCATTGTACTTTCATCAACCACGCCGGGCGCCCAAGCTTGACCATTCTCGAGCAACCACACCTCCGAATTCGAGGAAACGAATTCGATTCGGTGTCTGATGTCCTCTGACTCCCCTTGTTTCACCCGACTCTCTGCTCCCCTCCCAAACCCATCTGCCGCCTACCATCACCTACCCAACCCGACCAATCGAAGCCGCGGAACGAGAATCGAAGCCGACCAATCCGTGCAAATGTGTTTTGTATCTTTGTATTCTTGCCCGGGCGATGCGTGTGGCCAAAGACTTTTGCCAAGACATGGAGGTCAGAGGGAATGAGACTTCACAACTAAGTGTGGTAACTCCTCAGAAGGGGTAATACAGATTTCGGGGTATTGTGGATGCTTCCATCAACAGAAACAACACGAAGCCTTGAAGCCTTTGCCCAGGCGTCAATTCCCCCCATTCAAGGAGAGTATGTTCACCTTCCCTCATCTGGGGATGGCTCAAAACCTGGAGCCCCAACAGCATGTAGCTTGACCTTCTGGGTGGGTCAACCAAGGCCTCCTGGTTTTGACCCGGCCTCCTGGTTTTGACCCACAGCCATATACTCTTCCAATCTAAATGTGCATGCCGTCGCGCCTGGGAATGATGCACCCGGCGAAAGTTCTCATTGCCATCCTCCCAATCCTTACAGCAGCAAAGGGAACAAAGAGTCCATGTTGAGAATCCAAATCCGCATAGCTGTCTGATGACGTATACTGCATGCTTTGGGGCCAATCTGACTCTAAGCTTTCTACGATAAAATAATGACCACCTCCATCTGGGCCACTATGCACCTCAGGGGTTTAGCTGGACTTCATTGTTGCTATACTTGAGCAATGGGCCGAGTTCCAAGCTGCTTTCGTGCTTTGCTATGCAGCGACTGCAACTGTTGAAAGCCAAGGGAAGACGATAGCCGATCACAGACTGGAGGATGCTCATCTCACGCGAAACCAGCACGCTGAAATCCCACTGCACTGCAGCAATAAGCCAGCTGACATAAAGCCACTCAGTTGGACTCAATCCCAGTCCACCAGCTTGAGCTTCCACGGGCTGTTTGTCAATGTTTGTTACAAGCCAGCAAACTAAGTACTACAACCAGTTGAAAGAAGTCAACGCCAATATGATTCTGCTCCAGAAAACGCTTAACCTGATGCTGATGGGGTGGAAGCTGGCTCCTTGCTGAGGTTCAAGCGGTTCCTGCAAAATAGCACTCCGCAAGCGCTGGGCTGCAGGGCACCTTCACTTCCAGACCCCCAGTTCTTTCTGCATATTTCAGAGGCTTTCCGGTGTTGCCAACGAAAAAAGACGATGCCCCAAAGCTCAAAAGGAAACAACAGCATTTCTGAAACAACATGTTCGGGATCGGGATGTGCTGGTATCTTGGACGTTTTGAATCACCAAAGAACTCTGGCCAAGGTGGGAATGCCTCACCCATCAAATGACTCTTCAAACAATGTGTTGACTTGCTTCACAGCAACATCCCAGCAGCCCTAATCAGGCCTTCGTTTCAGCCTTCTCCACCTGCAGCGATAAGAGGAGCAGCAGCAAGCACAAGCTCCAATGAACGGAACATGAGTGAAGTTATGTTTTCAATGTGTTGGGACCAAGGAAACTTGGAGCGGGTCAACCATTCGAAGTGAGTATGTCCGCGAGCACCTCTCCCAACAAGTGCACAAAATAACAGTTTCACAAGGCCAAAACATGCCAAAACCGCACCTCACCAGCGAAAAAAGCGATCACAGCATGTCTTTCTGGACATGGTCCACCAGCAGATATGACCAGTTGCTGTGCCTCAGCAAAATCTCAAAAGACTGCAAGATCGGTTTCGACCCACCTGCAACATTTGATTTGTTTTCATGACGGACGGATGAGTTTTCCAAAACGAAGAAGAACACGGTGATACACGGTGCACGTGTAAAGAATCTGAACTCAAGACCTTCGGCCGCCAAACAAAGATATGCGTTTTCAATTCCAAAGGCTGGCTGGTGCCTCCTGTCAAGGTACCCGGAACACCAAAGGCCACAAAATCAGGAGCCCGAGCACAAAGCAGAACCACAAACTTGGTCACCTGAAGCAATGGAGAGGAACCCCTTCTTTATGGAGGTTCTGGGTCTTCTTCCGCGCACATTAGTGAATCTTGGCACCTTTTCACACCTCAAAGATTAACAAAAGGCCTGGTTGCAATCGGCGAGCTGCAGGAATGATGAGCCAAACATCGTAGCCTTGATGAAAAGGACCACATACATGTTCACTAGGAATACAAATGGCCTCCACCTACTAGCGATGGCCTCCAACCTAATAGCGATGGCCTCCATAGCAATGGCCTCCAACCTAATAGCGATGGCCTCCAACCTGTGTTCTAAAAAAAGAAAGCATGTAGTTATAGGTAGTTGGATGGGAACACTTTCTGCTCGCGACATCATAGCCTCATGTTACATGGACACTCTGTGTTCTTCTATGCACCGTGCCACAGCCTGCATCCCACACGTCCATCTGCAACTACTCAATGTGCTGATGGCTTGTGCTATTTAGTAAAAAGCAAGCTTCTGCTACGCAGGCCATGCGCTACTGTACTTTGTGAAAGTGTCGGTAGACATCAGGATGACAAAAGAGGATTTCTGAACAATGAACATGTATATAAGGAATGATCAGGATACAGTATATGAAACGACTTACAAACGCTTCTTAAAGACTGCAAATGAAGCAATCAATCGCGTTCTTGATGCGTGAGAACCTTAAATGACATCCCACTGTCGACATGTAATGCTAGAGCAAACCTTGGCCACTGCCACTGTCAAGCTGGGGCAAAAGGTCAAGGCGGTGGTCTGGACATATTTGCTGTGGAAACTCCAGATTCCTAGATGCTGCAAAGTGGAAAGAAAGGAAAGAACACAAAACATATATCAGTGAAGGTATCCTGCATTGTCTGGCCACTACAAGTAGGTATAACCTTCACCATAGTTCTCAACAGAAGGAGGCCCAGTGCGAAGACGAATGGTGCTGTGGCGGGGCTGGTGTGGCGCTGTGGGTGTGGTGTGGCGCTGTGGAGTGGGCCTCGCTCTCGCAGACGGACCGAAAGCACAAAGGCGCCTGGCCTGGGTGCAGTCTTGCGAACAGCCCCAAGCCCTCAACCTCCCCTTCCCACCCCAGACCAGAAAGTGAAATTGATGCGGCAAAATGTAGTTTTTCATATCCCTGAGTTGTTCTTTGGCGGCCTTGCGAAGGGAGGCTCGCGAAGGGGGACTTGCAAAGGGGATCTCAAATGGATGCCAATGGTATCGCAACTTCTCGTCGTATTTCCCTGACCTTCTCCTCGTGCAATGCACTTTTCCATGAGCACATGTTTCAACTGCTTTTCAAGTCCTCAAAAGGAAAACAACATACAGTAAATCCCAGCACCAATATTGTGTGCCTCTAATTCTCCAGAGTTTCCACACATTGGACATCGATCCACAAAAGTGGCCTCAATACATGATTCCAACACGCTTCCAGGAAGACACTTCTCCAACCTTTGAGCTTAGCCACCCCTTTCCTAAACAAATATATTACTAACATATATTAAGTATTAGATATCGTGCACTCACCTATTTGCATTTGACAAATAATGGCCCTCAGATATCATCAGATTATCCAGAAGTTCACGATGTTTAAAGGCGCCCCTTGCCAACGCACTTGTGCCTTGCCAGTGGAGTTTTCAGGGGCGTCGGCGGCGTCACAGAAAAAAAGGAAACACATCGTTCAACGTGGCACGTGCTTTGAACATAATGAACATTCAGAATGTATATCAGATTTAAAAAAAAAAAAAAACACTTCCTAACATGTTATCATGTTCTAGGATAAGAGGCGTCCCGTCGCTTGCCCAGTGTCTACCTTTAATTTTGGCGACCCTTGTGGCTGTAAGCGATTGTTTTCTACCCCAGACACTACATCATGTATGGCATAGGTCGACCATTATATATAGACCTATATATTGGGGTGGTTTGTGGCCGTCCTTTGCGGATAGTGTCTGGGTACAGTACCAAAAGTTCCCTCAAAGTTCCACCGGCGGCGAGAATGCACCCGTCTTTCTCAGTCCACATGCAAATGTTCGTGAGGAATGACAGGTGACACGGCAGGAGTTGGCGGTCACGATGGAATAAAGACATGTGCAATGGGACATTCAAGACACACACAAATGTCCCACCATCTCCCTACTGCAGCAACTCCAACCATGTCAACCGATCAGTGAAACACCTCAGACCGCCTGAGCCCTCAACAAAGATCCGACCCATCAGGTCATTGAACTCATTGCTCGGATATGGTTACGAACAGCACTTGCAAAAGGGGTATACCAAAGTTTTGGAATATCCCCGACCCTCTAAACATCTCTAAACGTCTTTTGTGTCCCCGATCCTCTAACCAATGATCATATTCGCAACCCAGGCAGTCGCGCTCCAGGTTCACCCGGCTTTGGCTTTGCCAGGCCGAGTTCACCTTGCCGTGGCCGCGAACTTCACATGCACCGGTGGCGGCACGTCGAAGCAAGCACCTGAGGCAGCGGCCGGTTCGGCTAGACAACTCGCTGAACCATCTTGTCATGGAGTCAATGTCTGGATGCTTGCTAGCCTCCGACCTACTGGCGATGACCTCCAACCTAACAACAAAAGGAACACATAAATAAACATGTCACACAAAATCACCCCCCAACTGACTCCCCACCCCAACCGACTCCCCGCCCACCGGTCTTGTGAGACCGCTCTTCCCTCGAATTCCCTCGACCCACCAGGTCAACGGTCTTCCGCTCGGAGGACCGACCCTGTGCCGTGAGCTGTGCCACGTGGGTGTCCTTGAGAATCGTCGCACCTGGTCTTTGAGGGCACCGTCGGTCGCGTGCCCGGTCGGGTGAAGACGATACGACCGGTCGGAAGGACATGGAATCATGGGTTGGGGGCTTGAATGTGGTCTTTATGTGGGACATTGTGGCTAAAGTCCATGTCAGCTTTGACCCCGACACTGGCCTTACATCCCCTTTTCAGTGGTGCTGTGGTATGCTGTAGTCACCTAGTCTGCACAACAGAAGCTCGGCGCCATCGAAAACCGCCTGGCAATCCACGCAGAACTTGATCATCTGCCTTCTTGGGAATGCCTGCCAGCCATGCTCGGGAAAAAAGAAGCTGAGACATGTTAAAGCTTGAGCAGAACATTGCAAAACAATGCAGACCATGCGATACAAGTAATTAAAAAATACACAAACCATCACAAACCTCAGTCTAGATTGCAATGGAATGCCAAGTCCTCGTCAACAACAAAGCACTATATGTTGATACCGATCAGCCTATCTTGCATGTGGAGAGAACACTTTGCCCACCTTCAACTTCTTCAATGGGTGGGTTGACCAGATTGTTTGGGTCAGCTCTCACCTTGGTCGAAATGCTGGAGGACAACATCGGTTTGGACAGCTTTCGCCAAACCGATCCAAGCACAAAATGAGACAAATCAGGACGTCCAAATGTGTCCAAGTATGTCCAATAGTCTGAGATAGTATGGCGAGATCTCTAAGTCACTTTAAGTCTCTGAGTAGCCAACCATCTGGTAACTGGTGAAGTTGTACCAAGAAGGTGCCAGGGCTTGGTCATAGAAGATGAACCATGGGCTGGCATCGCGACGGAGCGGAGCTGGAGCTCGGGCGGACCGCTCGGACCGCTCGGACGGTCCAGGCCGTGCTTTCCCGTCCGACGTTTAAAGGTGAAACATGGTGAAACCAAAGGCCTCAAAGGCAGTAACAGGTGCCACGCTAGTAGTAACAGGTGCCTTACTAGTAGTAACAATGTTCGCTATTAATTTAATTTTGCATTTAATTCTAATAGCTTCTTTGTTACTACTAGTAAGGCACCTGTTACTACTAGCGTGGCACCTGTTACTAATGGCTTCTTGTTACTAATAGAATTAAATTCCTCAAAGGTCCAAACACCGTGAACTGGGCCAACGAACTGGGACACCGTTCGGATCCGGATCCGGGCCGGTGCGAAGGACTGCGGTCGCATGCGACCGGTGGAGAGGAACGAATCCTCTCGTGTGGGGCTGACGAGTCCAAGAGGCTGCTGTTCGTTGTCATCATGGGTTTTCTCATGTTTTCTCTATGTGGATCTTCTCTCAAAGTGCAGGACTTTGTATTGAATTTGCGCGTTGCTTCGCTTCGTGGTGCTGGACTGATAGGATCGTGAGGACCCCGCTGCCTTTTGCATACGTTTCACGCCATGGGCATGTTGTGTGCGGTCGATATTGGGACTTGCCTTAGCTGCTGCACTAGCCGATGTTCGTAAAGGGAATTTGACATGTGAGCACACATGCCGAAAGACATGCGGCATGGCCCTGTCTGTGCAAAACACAAACTGCGATGGATACAGTAGTTCAACTAGTCCTAGCTTCAAGCATTTGGATGGACTTCAGCCAACTTGTGACAACCTGTGCCCTACGGCTTGCCATACGACCTTCAATCGAAGTGCACCCACAGGCCTAAGATTGTAGGAGCGTTCGATGTTTCTCTGCAGAATGCCCATCAAGCCTGGTAAATGTGAGGCTGCTCGTGCCAACACGCAGAACGCTGTTTGTACACACTCCACTCGATCAGTGCTCAAGAGATGCGTAACCCATCCCGAACTGAAGCTCACCCGTCCCCTAGGCCTTTGGGGCCTTTGGTACCTCAAGGATTGGTCACGTGAAATTGAAGAGTCCTTGAAGTTGGACCAACACATGCCATCCGGAAGAGGACACCCATGTCGGTGAACCTCATCCTTCCCAACACCTCTCTGTTCGCCCCACTCGCGGCGACAAACGTTTTGTTGGGGCAACATGCAAAGCGGGGTTCTTCCGTCTATGACTCGGTGACGTCAGTCTCTGCTTGGCAGAGCCACGATCACGCTTCCAACGGCGACGCGACGGCGGATGTTAGGACTAGATATGGCACAGAAGAGGGAACAAGAGATAACAAGAGTATAAGGACCTCGTTCGTCTGATCTCCTAGGCAATCATATATTATATATTAATATACACTATTATATACTAATACGACATTCCTATATCTCATCCAAAATATCATGTTTGTCCATCGTCAGCCGCAAGGTGATGGGCTGTACAAGTGAAGCTGGGCATCCACCAGAACATGTGGTGAAGCTGCAGGGTCCTACCTTTTGCTGCGGATCACATGTTCTTCAGCTGCACCTCTGGGTTCACCTTCCCTTGCTGTTGCCGTTCTCTCAGAACCTTGGTCGACCAAACGAGAAGAGAACGAACATCTGTTTGCTCTATAGGGTCTGACAACGACCAGAAAGATTGATGTGCATCATAACATGACTCGGGGTGTGGGACGACAGCAAGGACAACAACTACTACCACCATGATGAAACGCATATCACATATAAATCATGTTTCACTCAAATAACTGAGAACAAATCACAAAAACGTCCCACAATCTCTGAATCCAGAAGCGGTGATCAGCGATGACATTTGGAGCTTGATCTTAGCCATGTCAGTTCTTAAACTAAGGAAGTCTGACTCCATCGCACCAATGCTCTCTATGTAGGTGCGACCTTTGGATAGACGAAGGTTGGAAAAGTTGGAGACTTCTGGTTGAAGAGCTCTGTTGTCCAAACTCTTGGAGCTTCGCGTTGGTGTGACCTGAGCCTCGTGTCCGATCGGTGGCTCCTCAGGCTTCGCCACCTTGTCGAAGTCATCGCCGCCAGGTTCCACCTCAGGCTGAAAGGCTTCAACGGCATCGAAGTCCACTGTGGTTCCCTCACTTGGGGGCTCCTTCTGTCCGGATTTGTCTTCATCATCCACCATCTTCTCCAACAAAACCGCGATGGCCACATTAATCAGCACAATGCCATTCACCAGGTTGAAGCTCACGAAAAAGAAGGACACACCAATGGCCTGTGTGGGATCGGTGGTATGGAGCAAGGGCCGGGTGACCACCTCGGACCAGGACTCTCCAGTCAGCACTTGGAACATGGTGAACAACGCCTTCCCAAAATTGCCAAAGTACTCGTAGCCTCGGAGATACGTCGGAGATACAGGCGGAGCGAACTTCGCGAAGATTTTGGGTGGATATATGATGTCACCCTATAAAGCCTACTGTGAATGAAGCCATGAATTCTGGGGAACAAGGGAGATCACGATTTCCATGAACCTGCCAGCCTCTCCGTTCTCACAACATTGGACACCATCCTTTACTACGGCATTTCAGCTGTGACCCAAGAAAATATATTGAAGGAATATCTGCGGCAAGAGGCCAAACTTGAGATCTCGAGCAGTGGTGAGTTCAACCACTTCACCAAACTCATTGGTGTAGCTGCCATTTTCGCCATAAGTCATGAAGAACTCCACGCCCAGAATCGCATAGATCGACATGACCAGCACCTGCACGAAGCTCGGGTCCTTCTTCGGATACTCCAGGTGAATACCACACCAATCGAGTCCCAAATGTGTTTCAGCTATGGGAGGGGAACCAAACCAAGTCAGCCCCCCTCGTCCTCCACACAAAAAGAGTTCTACCCGTACAGCATGGTTGGATTGTGGTGTGGGTTCCATGTCCTTGGGCCCTGAAATGAATCTCGCGTAAGCCCTGGGATGGCCAATTTAATAGCCCAAGGAACCTAAGAGCGATGGCCTCCACTAACGATGACCTCCAACTGGGATATAGGTACCAAGCCTTTGAACCTACTTGATCCACCACCCTGACAACGACGAGAGACCAGGAGTTCCCTCAGCAAATCCCAGCGGAAAGAAGCTACGATCATACAAGTATGCTCAAATGCTCCAAACCAATTCTGACCCGTGTCATGGAACAAGAGCTGACCGGATGATAAGTTCTAACACAACCACCAGCTTCGGGGGTGGCTCAAATAGTTGGAGAAAAACAACATGCAACAATTTGCTGTTTGATGTTCCGATGTTCCCTTCCTCTTCCGCAGGTCATTTGGCACCTGTATAAAGAAGGCATTGGCCACGCCAGGGACCGCCCTCGACAAGGACTGCATGATCTTCCGCAAGGATTCCACGCGCTTGAAGAGCCGAAAGACACGGAAGGCGCGCATCATCCGAAGTAAGCCTGGCACAAACCATGTTTCGACGCCTTCGACGCAAAAAAAACTAGACGACGAGTGGCCCGAAAGCATTTTTCATCACGTAGGAAGTCAGAGTGCGAGTTATCCGGTAAGTGTGCAGTGAGAAGTGTGAAGTCGAGTGAGTTGAGGTAGTGTGTGGGTTTCTGTGCGTGTGTCTATGTCCGTGTGGACATGAGTCTGCGTATGTGTGTGTTCGTGTAAGTTGAGGGAGTGTGTGGGTGTCTGTGTGTGATGCAGCCTCCCAAACCCCCCACCGGCGGCCAAGCGGTGACAGCCCAGCTCATCGTCGTGAGCATTTGGGCTGCTGGTAAGGGGAGAAGCAGCGTGCACGGCGCCAGGAAAAGCTCAGGGAAAAAAAGAACCGGAAATGAGGACACAAAAGTGCCGAGGCAGGTGCGCCAGAAGTGTATCGAAGCCGTGACCTGTCAGAGGAGATGAACGAAGTAGCGCGCAGGCCTCCCAAACCCCCACCGGCGGCCAAGCGGTGACAGCCCAGCTCATCGTCATGAGCATGTGAGCTGCTGGTTGTCAAAGGCACGTGTTAGTTGTACTACCAAGTCGCCAGTTCTCATCTTCCAGCTCCCCAGCTACTCCGCGCACGACAGTTATATACTACACCGTCGCCAGTTCGCAGCTACTACCCACTCGCCAGTTCTCCTCTTCCCATTCCCCAGCTACTCTCCGTACTAAAGTTGTACTACCAAGTCACCAGTTCTCATCTTCCCACTCCCCAGCTACTCTGCGTACTAAAGTTGTACTACCAGGTCGCCAGTTCTCATCTTCCAGCTCCCCACCTACTCCGCATACTAAGGTTGTACTACAAAGTCGCCAGTTCTCAGCTACTACCCACTCACCAGTTCTCA